ACTGTTTCGATCAATTACAATGTTCTTGATTCAGGTTATAGAGGAGAGAAATGGAAGCTGAGAAAGGAGACGTACCGTCCATAGATAGGAAGGAAGAAGAGAATCTATCCCCGTTTGAGCTTCTGCCTCGAGAAATCAAAGAAAAGATTCTGGAGAGAGTGATAGATGAGACAGCGTGCTTGGATGAGTTCAAGGTTTTTCCGAAAAGAATATGGAAAGTTATGATTGTTTCAGAAATTTTGGAGATTGAAACGGGTGAACAAGGAGTTCAACTCGATCTTCAGTAGCAGCTATGCTGAACGTCATTTTGTCAAATACCCTTGTTGGATCGCGATACACGATGACAAGCAGACAAGTCATAAATCAGGTCGAGCAGTAGCTTTCGTGAAGATCAGTTACCCGATCACTCGCAAAGATATTTCATATACGAAAATGACTGAATATGACGATATCCTCAATAATGGGGTTAAGTTCGTGTACTCACGTCACAAAATCTTGTGGGATAGCATTTCAACATTCTTCAGGTTTGCGCTCTCATGGAATCTTCTTTTCATTTTCGTTTTCAGAGCTAAACCGTTTCGCATAGATTTAGTTTTTGTTGATCCTTTGTACGCAACTGATCAGCTGATATCTACTATCGCAGAGTTAGCTAATCAATCTTCCGAAGTATGTTAATGATTTACTGAGCTACAACACAAACTTTCAATAGGAAACTACCGTGCTCATCTTTCCCAGTTGTCGTGACGATGGTCTCGATTTCGATGTTCACGATGAAGAAGAACTTACTGATGCTTTTCGTAAATCCTACATTAAGATTGTGGAAGGACTTTTAGATGTTCACGCAGCTGGGAAAATTAAACTTCGATTTGATAAACATTTTTTCGACAGCGAACTTCCGGATGAGTGGTTCTTATAAGACTGACAATGTAACACGACCTATGAACTATTCTTCACTCCAATTGTTGTATTAATAAACGTTTGAACCAATGTCTGCTTCTTGAGTTTTCCCGAACTTTGAGGGATGTTCCTATCATGTTTATACTTAACTAATGCAGTCATATGAGAATGCAGATCAACCTTTGCTCCATTGCTAAAAACTAGGACGAAAGCGAAAGGTGCAGATGTGAATCTCATTTCATCGACTGTACGGAACGTTTGAAGAGTATTTCGTTTCTATACCATTCGAAAACATGTAGTTTAGTTTTTTCCCTCTTCCATATAAAATTCGCGTCGTCGCGGTTTCTTGAGTTGAACTGTGCTCCAACGAACTCTGTCCTTTTCTGGAAGTTTGATGGATGTTTCAACTTAAGTTCTGATGTAGGTATGTTTTTTCATTGTTTGTTATCTTCCTTTGTTCCTGTTGTGTTGTAATCAGTAGGTTGATGATGAGTTCCGAGTGGGTGAGGAACCGGCCGCGAAGATGCTTCTGAAGGTAATTCTTAGATGTTGAAGTAGTAGGATCTTGTTAAGAATTATTTTCTTTGTAACACTAGGTTGATGTTGTTATCTTTTAGAACGTTCATATAATTTGAGAGGAGTTAGATACAGGCTACTGGATAGAGGAAAAGTTGGTTTATACCTTGGTGAAGTTTGGTGTTGGTGTTACAGATAGTTATAGCTGATTCACCTTTATCTTATCATTTGAGTATAGGAAGATATAAAGACAGTGGATAGGAGAGGGCAGGAGTGAACGTTTGATTCTTATATTTACATATGTGGTGAATCCTCGTGTTGTAACTTTTTTAATTTGAAATAAACTTGTTCGAGTTGAATTACTTGTTGTCTGATTGGGGCTCAAATGTGACAGGTGACTCAGAGGACTCTGAGGGGATAAGGGGGAGGTCTGCGGACTTTGTTGTTGGTTGTTTTGTGATATTGATGATCCATATATACCATATTTGGTGAAAAAAGTGTGGCAGGATAGCCGAGTGGTATACATGGGGATCTCACAAGAACATGGTTGGTTCGATTCCTGAGGAAACTTCTACTGGCCCGAAGAAAGTAAGTTAGAAACGACCCCCTCCGGTCAGAGGAGGGGGTTATCACTATATCGAATACTAATTGTTTCTCATTACAGGCATACATCAAGGAGATTTGAGCTAGCGTGTTATAACTAACCG